AGGAGAGACATAGGTAACGACATCAACCTCAATGTCATCCCATGAAAGCTCACTGTGGGAATTTTGCCACTCACTTCAACAGCAGCTGGGAGTCTCCACTGCTTCTGTCAAAGAAAACTGAAACTTTGCTCTGGATGTTGAGAAACTCTAATGTAAGACAGATAATTCTGGGTCGCAGAACTCTTAATATGCTAATTTTCCATTGATTCCTTGATAAATCAATAAAGTCAAAAATCCTCAGTAACCCTCCCCTTTTAATCATCAGACAGTGACATAATGAATTAAGTCTACTGACTCACAGTAGTGGGTTGCATAATGGAAATGCCCTTGGAAATGCATGCTTTTGTACCCTTCATGTTTCCCCATTGCAATTCCATAGATTTATACATCATCAATGTGCTATTTCAGGCTAATATATTGCAAGGACATTGGGGTGGTGGCAGTTTATCAATTACTTTTTGTCCTCCTTTTTTTCATTAGTGCTATTTAAGAAGGCAAGCTATTTCTGTCAGGAGCTTCCTATAAAACTAATGGATTTTACAGTATAACCGTAATAGTGCAGTATTATGCCTGTCCCTTCCTTGTATTAATTATGACCATATTTGTATTCAAGATGCAACCTTATCTGAATCCAATGCAAATTACTATCTTTGAAGGAGAACGGCTCCAGCACAACAATTATTAGAGCTGTCCCTGGAGGTAACAAGACACTACTGCATGTGCTACCTAAGGGCCAGAGCAGTACCTTTCTTGATCCACACAAATATATCTCAAACAATGTTTCTCTGGAACTGGAAAATCTGCATTGTAATGTAGATTTGGGAGTTAGTCTAACTTTCTCTTTTTTTGCCTGTACATTACCTCACTGGCATTCAGTCAGTATTATGTATGACCATAACGAGCTTCACCTCAACATACCTTCTTTTTCAAATCAGTCAAAATAGGCAGTAATCCATTTTTCATAAATATTACTTTTATTAAGAGAGATTTAATAGTTCCTCCTTTTTCTGGAATCTACCTGAAACAGCCTGGTATTTTTCATCTACCCACCTCGCAAGTGACAGACAAATAAGCCTTTGCTTTTTCCTGGGCTCCTAAGTCAGCAACATTAATTCTCAAAGGCTCCAGCTCTGGGAAGAACTGGAAAGCCGCGTAAGTACATTCTTAAAGCCCACTTATTCAGTGAGATTAAAAGTATGGCTGATGTCCATTTCAATACAGAAAGCATTAACTCCAAATTCAAGGCCAGATAACTGCGCATGCTGGTGTACTGTCTCAAACAACAGACTACTCTTCTGGTTTAAAACACACGTATAAGAGCACTGCTGAATCTTGAGCTTTGAGTCATAAGTGTAGCAGAAGAGCAGGGTGCTGCCTGGAAATGCGACTGTCCGTGATGCTGACTGCTGAAATAAGCACATCAGAGGGTCACTGACTTCAAAAGTATGCAACTTCAATAATTTTTTCTGTTTCATAAAAGAGAGGTGCATAGGCTATGCAAAACTTCAAAACATTCAGTCTTTCTGCAATCCTCGCACTTGCAAATGAAAAGCCAAAAGAAAATTGAAAAAAGAAGAAAACAACAAAACTAGAGAGCTGCCTTCTCCAGGGGAAATTTACTCTTTTCTTCACTGGGATATATTTCTGAAAGGGGCATTGTAAAGGGGTTTAAGCACTTTTCTTCTAAATACTGTAGGCCAGGTGGAAGTTCTCAGGTAAGACAATGACTTATGGTGCGGATGATAGGTAGTCACAAAGATCCTTACAAAATAAAGCTGCCAGATATCCTGGGGCCATCAGAGCCGATGTGTAAAATGAAAAAGTGAAGATTTGTCTTGACTTTCCGGGTGAACCCATTCAACAGGCGGTGCAAAAGCACCTCGTAGTTCAACAGCTGGAAACAGCCCTTATAACAGCAGATGTCCCACCATGCAGCACACCACTAGCTGCAGGGACAGCCAAAAGGACCTCTCAGTGCACCTTACTTCACTTAATCCAGCAGGCTGTGGGACTGGTTCCCCCCTGAAGGGATTTACAGGTAATATGATCTTTCTGCAGCATCGTTTGGGGGTTCTCCGTTCTGTACAGGTAAGAGAGGGGAGGAAGGATAAAATGTTGTTGAAACTTCATTAAAGAATTATGTACTGCCCTGTTTACAGTTAAAACAGGGTAAATTCTGAGAGAAAAATATTAGAAATATACCCAGTGATACTGCTTTGTGTTCGCTGCACACTGTGGGAATTACACCTGAGGGACAGACCCTGAGGACACCAATTCAATGGCTTCACTATATCACTGGGGTTTTCCAGATGCTTTTCAACCATGTTTTCATTAAGTATCTATTCATAAGCTCACCACTTAATGAAAGAAAGCAGTTAAATGGGAAAGAAAACAGTTTCAGAAAATTACATATGTATAATTTGATATTATTTGTTTGTCTGTCTACTGACAGGTATAACACTTTTCAAGCATTTTTAAGAAAAAAACTCATTTTCTTATATGTACATACAGAGAAATACACACAGAGAGAAAATATACAGGCATAGGCAAGTGCACTCAGACTTTCTTTTCCAAACAACAAACCAGGCTGCTTGAGGCTTTCCAAATTCAGTTAGATGCCCTTTGCATTGCACAGCTTCCCAGACCCATCTGTACAAGCTTCTGTCACACAGCCATCCTCAAAGTGCATGTATTAAAATTTAAGCTAGGTTGTTTACAGAATAGTTCCAAGACTGTCCCTTTGTGGAAGTACTGGTTTGCAGAACATCTGTTGCTTTCAATAGTCAATACAGAGCCATTTGTTTCATCTGAAAGCAATGGCATTTCCCTGTGCTATAACCATGCTCCCATGAATCAAAGGAAATATGTTAAGACCATTCAGCCATTATTAATCTTTTATCTGGGGACTCTGTCTTTCTCTGATCACATATTTATCAGCATTAATTTTGGCTTGATTTTTAATAGCCTGTTCTCTGTGATGATTTCTACTAAATAGGAAGACACTCAGAATCTGAATGGGTAGGATGGCTCAGTGTGGATTTATCAGTGAGTTTGGCTTCATTTCTGTATGTCCAAGTTGATCCATTGTGTTGAAAAAGCAAATAACTAGCAACTGTGTCAGCTTCCCTTTGGCTAGCATCAATTTCCCTGAAAAGAACTTTCAGCAAGCAATGCCATCCTAGCCCATAGTGGTTTACTCCTGTTTTTCTTAAGACTTGCCCTTTTTTTCTCTTTCAAGTTTCATTGGTGTTAGTCAGAACTCAATATAAACCTAGACAAGTTTATATTAAGTATTACTTATGTTACATCACTGTAAAGACAAGGCAGGCTAAGGGTCAAATGTGCAAAACATGATTCAAACACATCATTACTGAGATATTTTATGTACAGATTTGTTTTTCTTATCCACATCACATCTCTGGAAAGCAGCAGGATTACTGAAGATGTCTGAAAAGCATGAAATTAAGGGCTTGATTTTTCTCTTGGACAAGTTTATAGGGAAAGTATTGCATTGGTCCATTTTGACTTAGTAGACTCTCATGTAAGAGGTAACCAGGATGCAAAGTACTAGGAGTTCAAGTAAATCCCATCTTGAAATGGTGTCCTTTGTAAACTTCCCATTGTAAAAGCTATTGCAACTTCTAAATTGAGAACATCAGGACTAAAAAGATGTAAAGATGTACAACATTGGTAAAACAACAGAAACATTTCTAGTTCTAGCTCTCAAATACTTGTGCATCATATAAAGATCATCAGAGAAACTCCTAATCATCATTGTTATGAAATTTTTAACTTTTAGGTTTAGGAATTAGTTGGGGTGAATGAGTAAACAGATTATATGGCAGGAAATTCCCTCTAGCTTCTGAGAGGCATTAGTATCTCTGCTTTTTACCCTTTGCAGGAAATGCTTTACATTCAGGGAATAATGAATCAATAAAATAATCAATTTACAAAAAGTATATGAGAGTCTGGGGAATTCCTCCTGACAGACTGCACAAGCTGAGATTGGATATCCTATTTCTTAGGAGGCATGGCCACAGCATCTTAAAAGATGGATGGTAGTGTGAACTAGTCTGCCAATTTTGGTCACTCAGAAGACAAGTTATTGGAACATATTTATGGTGGAGATGCCTGCAATTAAATGACATGGGGACAATGTGTTTGGAGGGATCTTACCCTTACCCATCACCAATAACAAAATTTAAAAATTAAAATAGAAATAGTCCTTTTTAACAGGAGCTTTGAGAAATTCTTTTTCAAAACTAAAGCTGGGCAACATTAAGTATTACATTAAACTACTGCCCTAGTTTGTTATTGTCCGCATTAAGAACGACAGGAGAGCCTACATTTTCTACTTGAAACTGGGACGCATGTAGCCCTTTCCGAGTCATACACACAAAGCCAAGCTGCTTTGAAATGCTTTCTTGGGATATAAAAACAATGTATAAATTATTAAACTAATAGTACATGTCTGCTGAAGAGAATGTAGCCTGGAAAGCTTCACTGGAGAATCAGATGTTTATTCAGCCAACACTTGTAGATGGAGGCAACATCTGCATGTGTGTTCTCATAGGTAGGTCCAGCTCTCCACCTTTCTTCCTCTTTCCACAAAAAATCACAGCTGGCTGTTCTTATTCCATTACAAAGCAGGTGCTTCAGGCCTCCAGAGAACTTACATTGCACGAGAACATCATGCTGTTGTGCTGAAACATGGTCCTGAATTAGGCATTTCAGACAGGCTAATAGATTGTGCATAGGTACCTTTTAGCTTGTCACCGACCTAGACCATTGAATGCACAAAAAAGGTATTAAGGCAGTGGTCACACAAATAGAATAATGAAATAAGGGCCTTTAAAAGTTACAGTTCCAGCATTTCTGTTAGTTTGAGGGATTCTTGCTGCTGTAGTATTTTCTGCTCACTTGACTTCACAATGGAAATCCTAGTAATCATCATTCATTTTATCTGCCCCAGTCATTTCACCTGAAGCATAGAAATTGTTCTGCTTGCTCTCTCATGAACATATCAAACTGCAGAGGCTGTGAAAGGAGTGCTGTGTGATTCCACCAGTAAAGGAGAAGAAATAGGATACCTGAAAGGAAACCTGAGTCACTTCTTGATTGGAAAAAATGCTAAAAACATGTAATTTCCACTGCCGATAATTTGGAAGAAAAACAGTCCATGAAGATTCTCTTTCAATTTGTGATTTTTAACATTTGTTTCTAAACAACTACAATTTAAAATGAATAAGGTAATTTTTCATTTAGGAATGTAAAAACCACAGACATATATTTCTTGAAACATTTTTTCCAGTGAGAAATCTATCAAAGCCAACTCACTCTTGTGTCCAGTATCCTTCTTGAAATATCAGCAGGAAAATCAGTGAAAACAGACTTGCAGCAAATTTTTGAATTTTATTTGGAAAAAAACACTACCTGGATTCTCTTCTTGACAGTACCTCAGTTTCTACATGCTCTAGATTCAAAAAAAAATACCCCAAAACCATTATTAAATACTATTTTCCAGAGGGAAGAGAATAATCCAAGGGAGATGGCATGCCAAGCAGAGTCCCACTTTGTGTAGCATGTATAGTGGTTGGCTACCAATGCAATCCCCATTTTCTCATGAGCACAGATGGCATCTCTCATGGATGTGAGGAGGTTTGAGGATGCAACATTATGAATATTGGAGCAGTTACCCTTCCTGAAGGGCAGCCACTTTCTGACTGCCTGCTTTTGCAGGGCAGCAGCTCACAGGCATCACACAGGCCAGCATTTACCAGGCACAGTGTAGTGCAGGTACGTTGGGATCAGTGAGCTCCCAAAAACAGTCAGGGAAACTCCTGAGGTGCGGACTGTGGTTCTGGGCATGTTCAAAGCAGTTAATTAATGAAGCTGAGTCCTGCAAAGCTTCAGCATTTCAGATTTCTGAAAGCAAAATGACCAAAAGCTCTTTCACTCCTGTTTATCAGCTAAAAAAGTGGTTTTTTTTTTCTGACTTAGAAATGTCCAAAAAGTCAGTGGCTTTCTCCACCAAGCTTTATTTTTCAGCTGAGACCCAGTGCCAAAGGTGCAAACTGAATTAAAGGCTAGTAGGAGGAATGAACTGTCTTCATGTTATAACCATTTAGATTTGTAAATTCAAAGGCCTTTCCAAGAGAATAAAAGACAACTTAATTTATGATTCATCATATTATGATGAAAATGGGGGGAGAAAGAAAGTGATAGCTTGTTCAGTTTTCAGACTTCCATCAGCAATTTTATTTTGTTGTAAATGTATCTCCTTCCTACATCTGGCTCAGAAATCAGCTTGTTAAGTACTTAGAATTGCTGTAGGATAGCGAAACCTGGAGGTTATGAAGAAAGAAGCCCTTGTGGGTTTCTGTTGTTGACAGGAATAACAGAGCTAGAAAAATAGACCTATTAGGCTAGGGTTGAGGTTGAGAAAGCATTCCCTTCTAGGTATAAATACAAGGTTGCTTTACTCTTAAAAATCACAAATATATGTGGATTTCTGAGTAATTGTAACAAAAGGTCATCAGTAATCTTTAGGCAAGTTATCTAGTATTTTACACTGTAGAGCTAATATACAAGTAGCATAACTGATTCTCCATCTGGATGAAAAGTTCACATCGCAAGACTTACAGAAGTTGAACAAGATAACCACTTTCAGTACCCTGTAGCAACCTTTAAATCCAGAAACCATTTTTATATACGTGTGGTTTGGGTGGTGGGTTCTTTTCTTGCCTCAGTATTCATCCTTCAGCTTAAAGCCCATTGTCAAGTGCTTTGAATTTGTTGCTGTCTGTAGGAGTTGTTAAAGCTGACTGCAGGGTTACTGCTTTAAACACTTCATGCTGGAAAATCTGTCATTTCTTCATCCCCTGATATTTCTTCTCCACTTTCCATTGATGAAGTGCATACTGATCCTTAATTAACAGAAACACCTTTACTGGACTGAGAAACATGGTTTCTAGACAGCTAATGATTCGTTTGATTTTCCCCAGAACATAATTTAAAGTTGAATTCTTCTTGTCATAATGGAAATACCTTAAAAGTTTATCGTCATAGATAAAATATGATGAATAAAAAATAAGCCAATAGCCAAGGAAATTAGCTGGTTAAGTAGCAAAGTTTAAAACCTACTGAAGTGTTGTTGGCCTCATTCAGAAGAAAGAGATCTGACCCAAAAGAAGTCAGTTGGGAAAACAGCAAGTCACCACTGGCAATGTGCAGGAAAGAAGGGGGAAGAGCAAAGAGGGAATATGGAGAATAATTGCCAGATGTAACAGAAACCTGATTAAATTCTCTAGCTATTACAGAAACAGGAAGTCATGAGTGAATTAGTAAAACCCAAAACAAGATGAGCAAAAACTAAAAAGACTCAACAATAGAAATAAACTAAAAGAATTCTTTGAATAATCCCTTCCTGCCATTTCACAACAAAATTATACACTCACTAATCCAGGATCAGAATTTCAAGTAGTGAAGATAGGCCACGAACAGAGACTCAAGATGAACAGAAGTACAAGAAGAGAAGCTGGAACAAACTGGCAAACTGAACACCAACAACTCACTAGGACTGGCTGGTACCTATCCAAAAACTCCGCAGGTGCTGAAGACAGAAGGGATTTAATGGCTAATAAAATATGCAATCTCTGGTTAAAATGGGCAGCTATATTGGAGGCCTGCAGGCTGGCAACTGTTCTAGGTCTAAAAAAGTCAGTAGGGATCTGGGGAATTACAGATCATGGAGCTTTATTCCACTATCAGTTAATCTTGTCAAAACAATAATTAAAAATAGTCTTTTAAAAAAAAAACAGTCTTCTAAAACACCTCAAGGAACATGATAGGACCAATGTATGGTAGAACTGTCTATCTTTAATACACATAAAATCATTGAGAGAAGATGAAAATCATGAGGCAGGCAAATTTGCAGATGGCAGAAAATTATTTCATTTGGCAAGACTAGAGAAGATTGTAAGGTGTTCTGTAGGGACCTCATAAAGATGTACTAGTGAGAAGCATAATGTCTAAAAATCAGTACTGGCTGATATCCAGGAGCAACAATTGAAATGAACAGCTTAAACTATTTGCATGTACAGTTACCCTGAGCAATTTGCTGACCCAAATTGGTTTTGGAGCCAAGATACCTAAAGGATTTTTTTTTTTTATTTAATGAAAGTCGGTATACACTATAAAAGATCTGTGACAATTATAAGGTCTTATGGTTTAAGATATAGAGCAATTATTAACCACCAGGAGCTACAGAGCAGTTATTTTTGTAGTAAGTCTTCATCCCTCTTCAAGAAGGGCAACCAGGAGGATCCAGGTAACTAAAGGCTGGTCACCTCAGGCCCTGGGAGGGTGATGGAGCAAACTGTTGTAATCAGTGGTGCAAAGTCCAGCTGGCAGCCAGTAACAAGCAGCATCCCTTGGGGCAGACACTGGAGCCACAGTACTGTCTTCATTATCAATCCCGATGGCCGGACAAAGCGCGTTCTTAGCAAGTCTGCAGGCAACACTAAGTCAGGAAGAATGGCCGACATGCTAGAGGGCAGGGCTGCTACTCGGAGAGACCAGGACAGGCTGGAGAAACGGGCAAACAGGAACCTCATGAAGTTCAGCAAAAATGTATGCAAGATCTGGGATGGAATAACCCCAGGCAACAACACTGGCTGGGAGGCAGCTCTCCAGAAAAAGACCTGCTGGTCCTAGCAGGCAACAAGCTGGACATGAGACAGCACCGTGCCCTGGCAGCAAAGCAAGCCAATTGCATCCTTGAATGTCTTAGCCAAGATTGTGGCCAGCAGATCAAGGAAGATGATTATTCCCCTCTGTTGAGCACTGGTGAGACACATCTGAGATGCTATGTCCAGTTCTGGGCTCCCAGTGCAAGAAAGACAAGGACATACTGGAGCGGGTCCAGCAAAGGACCACCAAGCTGACCAGAGACTGGAGCACATGACATAGGAGGACAGACTGAGAGCTGACTTTGTTCGTCCTGGAGATAACAACAATCAGCGGAGACCTGTATTGCTGCCTACAGCTACCTGATCAGAATATACCGAGAAGGTGGAGCCAGACTCTTCTCAGAGGTGCACAGCATTAGGAAAAAGGCAGTGGGCACAACTTGGAACATGGGAAATTCCAATTAGGTATAAGGAAAAATATTTTTACCATGAGTGGTCAAATACTGGAACGGGTATCCAGAGAGGTTGTGGGATCTCCATCCTTGGAGATGTTCAAGACTTGACTAGACACATCCCTTAGCAACCTGATCTAATTAGACATCCTTTGAGAAATGAATTGGATTAGGTGACATCCAGAGGTCTCTTCCAGCCTAAATTATTCTATGGCTGTTCCTGTCTGTTTACCAGAAAAACTCTTCTAGTGGGATTTTTAAACGAACAGCAAGATAGTTTTAAATAAGCAAAAAGAAATAACCAGGCACAAAGAAATTCAGACATTCACCATTTTGTCCAGGTATCATTTGATGGCCCTTCTTTGATGAAGCTGCTTTTGTTACATTATCTCAAGTTGAAAGTGTATTCATCCTATTATTGAAAAATCACATGTACATTCTCAAAAGTATGGAGGGTGAAAGGGAGAAATGGCTGAGCTCATTAACATAATTTAAAATATATATATTAGCAAGTTCTTTGAAGATAATGTCTCTAATTGTTATACTGACCTTTCAAGTATAATATAGTTGCATCAATCTGGAGAGGCAATTTAGAGCTTTAACATTAATTCCTAATTAACTAGTAATGTTTTCTTATACTTTTATGAGCTCATTTCCACTGGTATGCAATTATTTATCTGTATTGGTTCCTGCAGTGACATAATTCAAAAAGTTCCTATGTCTAAGAATACAGGGTAATAATTGTTCTGAAGAGTGAAAATTATTATAGTTTGTTTTGCATGGAATGGCAGGTTAGAGGAATAATGAATTCAATGAGGGACCATAAGTAAAGAGTAGCAATATTGACAAGGTGTCAGTATAGATCAGAACAAGGCAAAGGCATATTCCAGTTGGGTGCAAGAAAAGCTGCTCAATTGTTTGAAATCTTCCATAACTAGATGAAGGAGCCAACAGCATGTTACAGTTTATATTAGAATAGAAAACTTTGCAATCACTAATGAAATTTAGGAAGAAGGAATCAAAAAGGATGAGAAACAGAAAAATGAGGTCAGGTTTTAAATATGTAGACTGATGCCTGTGAGGGGAATAATTCAAAACATAGATATTCATTTGTGTGGAACATTTTAAAATATGACGAGTTTAAAATATTCGAACTTGTGCCTGAAGATCAAAATAGGTATCTGCTTGCAATGCAATATTGCTATATAAAACACTGTGATTGTGGGGAGTGATAGTCTTGTAACACATGTCAAGGAGGTAAAATCTTCTGTTTATCACAGTGGCAAACACCAGCTACTACACTGCATACATATCCAAGCACTTCTGCAGAAGAAAGATGTCTGTGGAGGATTTTTGAGAAAAGAAGAGGAGGTGATTTGGATGCTTCTATTAGGTGAAAAGCTGCTGAAAGCAGAATACTACTAATGTGTTTTATAAACTCTTCCTTGTCTTTGTAACTGGAAGACATGAGGACACACTAGGAGATGTGAAAATATGCATTTCAGGTAGGGCTACACAGCTAGATGTGCTTAAAATAAGAACCCTTCTCTCTTCTCAGACCTTTGACAAACACAAAATTAAACCTGCATTCCACATGTACTGACATTTTTAGTTCCTAAACTAAGATTTCTTAAGCATATATTCCATCTGAGACAACTTATCAAAGACCTTTCTCCTTTCCACCATCTTGCCAAAACCCCATTTTTTTTTTTACGCTATTGCTTATAGAAACATGTAGGAGAGTTTGAAAGAACTGTCTTTGTTCAGTCTTAAGATGAGAAGGCTAAGGGGTGGGTCTCATTACTGTCTTCAACCAGCTAATGGGAGGCTAGAGAAAAGACAGAGCCACACTCTTCTTGAAGACGCATATTGAAAAGATGAGGGTGAGAGCCACATCAGTTGCAACAAGGGGAATTCTGATTAGATGCTGGAAAAAAATCTTCTTCTAGCAGGAAGGGTAGTCAAACACTAGAACAGGTTCTTCCACAAAGGCTGTAAAACCTCTTTCTTGAAGTTACTCAGAACTTGACTGGTGAAGACCTTGAGCAATGTGATCTAACCTGTACTTGACTTCAGCATAAGCCCTGTTTAGAGCCTCTGGAGAGGTCCCTTCCTCCCTAAGTTGTACTGTGGTTCTAACAAGCATCTGGAGGAGAACCCCACACCCCTGATGCCCTTCACAAGGCAACAGTGTTCACAGGGTGACAGTGAGTGACGTATCTGGGAGCAGACGTGGCACCAGTTCAGCAGACAAGTACGTCAATCGCTGCACCTCCTTGCCAGACTCTGCATTTGCCGTAGCTTTTTCATTAATGTATTCAGAGTAGGATTCTGTCTTTTTGCCATGGTGATGGCAACAGGATTTGAAAAGTGATAATCAAAAGCTGAGCTATCTCTGCAGGGAAAGAGGAGTACTCCTGTTGCTGTCTGTCTTCAGGTTTATTTTGCTTATTTTTAATAAGAGCTTCTTAACTTAGAAAAAAAATAGTTTCTTTGACAAATGTATGGTCTGTTTTCTCAGTGAGGACTTCCTATAACTGCTTACAGTTTACTTAAGAATATTCATTCCTTATACTTCCTTTTCTCTCCTGCTGATAACCTTCTGATTTTCAGGGGCTCAGCTGCAATAAGGTCTTACTAATAAGAAGATTCACAATGCACATCTGAGATACTTTTGCTGATTTGAAGCAGCTTATGGCAGTAGCAATAGCAAATTTTACTCACATGTCATAAGTCTAATACACGAACACAAAATTAGCCTCTCCTGCCAAATGACAAGGGCTCTGCCTTATATCAAGTTGAATTCAGCACAATGCTAGAAAGGAATTTGCAGGCAAATGCTCCAAAAAACCAAATGGTTATAGATGTATTAAAACAGCAGCAAGTGTTCCATACAAAAGTGGATTTAACAAAGAGCAAGAAAAAGCTCACAACTCCTTCAGCCACTACATTCAAGGACAAGTTACACCACTCACATATATAAATACAAACCCCCATATGAAAATAAGGGCAAGGTCGATTCACAAGCCCATGAGGATATTTGTGTTATACGGGAAGTAAACTACAGGGATGGCATGGGCTTAAAGCAGCAAATAAAGTGACTTCTGTGCCATTTTTCCGGCACAGTAGGGGGTTTGGTTTTGTTCCTTTTTATCTTGTGCAGCTATAGGAGCTAAATCCCTTTTCGTTCCCACCACCACAGCAGGTAGATAGACAGGAATTTTGCAGTGGTTCCCTGCTGAACCCAGCCTCCCACTCCCACTGGTGCAGGAGCGGGGCTTGGAAACACCGCATACATCTGACGAGAGCTTGCGATCACAGGAAAGGGAGAGCAAGCTCTCCTGTCACTCCCCTGCTGCTGGAAACCTCTGGATATCAGACATGGTGGAAAAGGGGAGCCAGGGTCAGACATTTCGTGCCACGCCTTCTGACAAGGCATCGGGTACCCGCACATCCCTGGACAACCATCTCGGCAGCTTCAGTCGCGCCTTCTAAGTGTACTGCACCAGCCAGGGACAAGGGGGAAAGACAGCCACAAGGCACGTCTGTTCTTCCACGTGGCAGCACCTCAGCACGAGCTACAGAAGCAGCAGAGGCAATCGAGAGCTGAAGAGGAGGGAGGGTGCAAAGTGAATGGGACCGAGATGGTAGCAAGCTTAGGAAGTGGGACGGCAGCATGAGGTGAAGGATCCGATTACTAGGAGAAGACGACTGCTGCATGGCAGGGAGGCACTGGGTCAGAGAGGCTGTGGGATTGACAGAAAGACCAAGCTTGAAGTGCCCAACATGAGGAAAAAGCAAGGTTTGATGGCAGCTGTTGATGATGGCTCAATGGGTCAGACCTCCAGGGTTGCTATTCATGCAATGATCTGCTGACTGCTCTGAGAAGCTTGAAAAGGAGAAACTAATGCAGCACCAAAGCGAGGCACAAGAATGAGGAAGAATAAGCCTGGTTTTTGTTAGAATAATATGAAGTATTCACCACCTGACATAACTTCTCTGGATGAGTAGCTTGATATGTTTCTTCTTACCCAACCAGGACACAATCAGCTACTCTTACCACTGTCCATAAAAAATTTTTAAAAATCTATGAATCTATAAATGTAATAACAAACAAAGGATAAGATGAAACATTGAAAAAAGATTGTGGTGAAAGCCTTCATTGGCTGGATTCATAAATTTGCTGCGATTTCTCTACCTCTTGTACATACAGCTGAGGCACCGTGGGTTGAGAGCAGCCAGAGACCTGTGATACACGTCTCTGCGCAGAAAAATACTACATTGGCAGGAATGTCTAAGAAGGTATTTTATCTCCTTCCATATGCCTAAAGTACCAGTGAAAAGCCCCAGGAACCCTGTAGGCAGCATATGGATGAAAGAAGGGAGCCGAGTCATTCTTCTGCTAGTTGTGCTGTAAATTGTCTAAGACTACTTCTTCCTGTGTTATAAAATAGGGTTGTCCCTAGGACACTCTGCCAGATTAATTGGCTTATTGGCTCTGAATCAGGGAGTCACAACCAGTTTCTTGGCCCTGTTTTTTCTCTTCAGTTCTCCCCACACACTGCTGCATCTGCATGCAGCTGGGACAGGGTGGGAAAGGCAGCCTCCAGTTAATAGAGGAGAAAACAAGAGGCCTGCTCAGTTCCTATAGAAATCAGTAGGAGTAATGACACTGACTCCAATGGGCCCTTAATTATCAGGAAAAGAAGGCTTTTGAAGAGACAATTACTGCTACAGGTCTCAGAGTGTTATTTACTTACCCATTATGGTAATCATAGCCACTATGCACCATTTCATTCTTCCATTCTATGGTATATATCAAACACTTCACAGAACTGTGAGCACAGGAACAAAACACAAACAAGCGTAAGGAGGTCTAATTAGTGAGCTGATGCCTCAATCACTCACTGGGCTGCTCATTATCAGACTCAATAATTTCCCTGGTTATTCTATTGCGTTTTCCAAAAGAAAAAAAGAAAAGAAGAAAAAGATCACAGTCTCCTCAGGACAAGGGACACATTCTGCCACACTTACTCCTACTGAATAATACCATGTCCTACAAGCTCTTCATGCAAGTCAACGGAGAAAAGGTATTTGACATTTCTTACAAGTAACAGGGGCTTCAGTAAAACATGTGCCTAGCAAAGTATAACACCATATGAGTGGGGGTGGAATAATAAATCCAGCATAAATCTAAATCATGCTTAACGACCTCTTTTTCACGTGACAGCGGTGATCTCACTGGCCACCTAGACATGTGGTACACAAACTCAGAAGTACCAGTGTGAGAACACCAGGTCTTGATTGCAAGCCGTCCTAATACTTGATGTGCCCAAAAGTACTGGCATACCTCTTTGAAGTGGTGGTATAACCTAACACCATTTATAAGATCATTTCAACTGCTGCATACCCAGTTTGACTTTGTGAGTGAAACAATGACCCCTTTCACAACATTTTTACATCCCACTTAAGGAAAAAGAAACGTCTTTCAAGCTCTGAATAGTTATAAGTCTGGAGAAAACTGGCCTCTCAAACTAAGGTGTTTCTTCCTCCCAACCAATTCCCTAATTCAGTCCTATTCACCAGTTCAGAAGGATCCTGAATATCCTCCTTTCATACTGAAGATAATTTCCTTGGCATTGCAAACAGAGCATTCAGAAGTCTCATTACAAAGATGCTCTGTGAGCAGCGGAGCCCATAGCCTCACACAGAATCTCAATTCCTTTTTTAATCTGCACAAATAACTGAAAACCTTTCAGGCAACAACTTTCAATTTTTTTTTTCCTTAGGTATTCCCTCAGCTGGAACCGTTGATCTCAAAACTCATATGTTTCTATTTTTAACATCTTCTGGAGGGTTGGTTTTTTCCGTGGGATGTTCTGAGATAACACTGTCTCTTTACCAATTAATCTTCAAAATTGTTTTCCCAAAGAGTCTCTTTTTAGATTTCTTGCTGTTGTCAGTTTCATCATAACAATATCCTGAATTTAATCTCCAACTATGCCTTCTTTCTAAGGTGATGCTTCGGGTAATATCACTAACCTTTTCAATAGATTAGGGAGTCAGAGGTAGGAAAGTGTAGGTACTGAGTCTCTGCCTTATTTTCTGACATTCTGACAGCAGATAAATTCAGATTGCTTCTTTTCCTTTCAGGAATGTTTGGGATACTTCAAAATTCTTCCAGGTATCAAGGATTATACTCTGTATAAAATGCAAACCCTTTCTGATTCCCCTTTGGAACCAACCTGAGTCTACTTAGGTGTGTGCAGAGCTCACCCTCTGAGAAAATACAAGACAGGAGGATGAGAGGTCACACATTCTATGAGGAAATCCCACGCAAACTGTCCAGCTTGTCAAAGATACCTTTATCACTCCCACGTGTTTATACTTCTACTGTTAAATAACGATGCCACTCAATGGATCTGCGTAGGGCTATTTGGTGGTGACGTGAGTTTAGACTGGGGGTGCGTGACTAAATAACATTCCTAAAATCCTCAAGTCCCCACAACATTGGATTATAAGAAATAGGGACAAAATTACAGCAAGTAAAGCAGTGCTCAATAGTCCAGTGCTCAATAAAGACTAGCCAACACTTCTAAAAGGCACTAAGTCATCAAATCCAGATTGTATTCTGCATGACAAGGAGCAAGAATTTAGCCCTTTTCTGTTGTTTTT